AATAGCGGCTCAGCTAGACTTGAGCCAAATAGTATTTGATATAAAATTCACAGAGAAGTATTTTTTATTAGAGATTTTATGATATTCTTGTCACGCTCCTTGTTGAATATAAGACTTTTTATATCCAATATCATTCTCATGGCCTTCTCTATAATTGCTATTACAAAGAATAGCGTATGTTTTGAACTACGCCATTTTGAAAAAGAGCCAGTGCCAGTAGAGAGACACTGGTAACGAAGTTGTTTTATATCGGTGCGGACAACAAAAGCGCTTGCTCAAGCATTTGTGAGAATCCGCTGAAAATTAAGTAACAGCTTTCGTTTTCACAAGATACACTACAAGATTTCTTGTGTACAAATAGATTTAGATATATAAAAAATTGGTATTAATAGATGTTCAGTTATGGACGTTATCGGCTCGAAAAGGATTACTGGGTAATTTTAACTTCGTCCATATTAACTTTAGACTCAGCTTTAGACTCAATACTCAATTTTACCATCCCAACCGCCATCTTGAAAAGTAGCCAAGATAGCGCAGGTGACTTAAGAATAGAGTATTTCAGCTGAACCAAATTGATTATTAGACAAATGTGAAAATATTTAGATTAATTGCTCATGGCATTGAAACGCTTTGAGAATTTTAACAAAATTTTTTTTGTTGAAAATAAAGTCAATTATATTTTGTTATTATTTGATAAGGTTAAATGCTTATTTTGAATCGTATTATTTGGTTTTATCTTTATGTAAGCCGAAGTTGTGAACTTTAATTCCAGGAAAATTGTTATAATTCATGTTGTACTATTACATAGTCGGTAAAATCACGCTGAAAAGCGTGAACATTATTATTTGAAGCCAAAGGAAACAGTGAATGTGTACACTCGACTTCTGTAATTTTCATTTTGTTTCACGCCTTGTGTGAAAACGTATAATTACAAGTAGGAGAAAGAAAGAAAACTTCAAATGTATAATTATAGAAAACAATAAAAATTTGTGAAAAAAACTCATTAATGATTTATGAGCTAGTAGGCCATTCGACGTGCGTCGCTTTAAAGATATTCCCAGAACATATTGTGTTTAAAGTGGTATAAAGGTTATTCACATGACCAAATTGGGATACCTCGAATGGCCTACTAGCTCATAAATCATTAATGAGTTTTTTAAGAAGAATGCTGCACGATTTATGTCCAAATTTTCCGTCTTCCCATGATGCATTTCGATCGTGCATAGAAGTTTGTTRTACCTGGTCTTCAAAAGAGGGCTGTTTAAAAATCTGCAGTGCATTTGACAAAATAAAAACATCGAAATGAGGACGTTCTATCAAAGGGGTTTGCAAACCAAGTGGACTTTTTGCTAGGAGAACATATTTTGACGCTACAAATTGAGATGAAAATCAGTGTACTCTGCCGTCCTTCAAACTCAGATTTTGGCATTCATTTCAAAGCAGAGTCATGTTTTGTGTCTTTTGTTTCCTCGTTGCGAAATTCTTTTAACTGTAAGATCTACAGTATCTACTAGTAAGTTCGTACGARCAATTTCAGGGCTCTAGCTTACTATTTCGGCAACTTATAGACTTTTGACGCATAGGTCGAATTCGACCTAAATTTCAAGGGGCAGACGGGAAAGAGTTAACTCGTTCGATTAACTTCGATTAACAATTTATTCTTGCTTACAATTGATAGTTGAAAAGAACATTATCTACATATCATCATAATTATTTGCAAACTCATTCGTCAAGGATAATCAAGGGCGTTCTAGTGGAGCTTTTTAAAAGCCCTGAAATATTGACTGTCGAGTTGTAGCTCTTATATTTCAAAAACATAAATCTAAGAGAATTGGAAAATATTCAAAGTTTTAATTTAGTAAAAAAAGTACGATGCAAACGAGCTAAAAACAATGAGTTTGACGCATTTAGGTCCGTTTCAGACGTCGATATTTTGCCGCGTCTAACTAATTGCTTACATGCAGTTCTCTAGAAGTTTGCAGTCTACATCGATTGATAATTACAGATTATAGTAAGTTTGTCCAACTGAACAAAATCTACTAATTTCAATAAAATTAGAGTACAAAATGCTCATAAACTAAACTCCAATTAGATTAGACTCGACAAAAGATCGACGTCTGAAACGTGCCTTAACAATAAACTTAGCTTAACTTGAATTTGGTACGTCAAAAATAAGTTCGACGTTTGACCTAGGCCTATGTTTGATAAAGCATTTATCGAAACGATAAGCTAATCCATCATCCTTATGTTATAAAAATATATACAAATAAGAAACTTGGTCAATCGGCTGTTCAAAACTGCAGGAAGATACCCAAGAATCTGATAACTCAATGGATATGGATCTCGGAAAACATGGGAAAACTTGCCAATATTTTTCCTTTTTTTTTTCCTTTTTCTAAACATTTAATGATGCAAAAGATGTAAAGGATTATAAAATATAAACTAAAAGTTGTTTAGCTTCTATAAAATATTCTTAAGAGTATAAAAAGTAAAAGCTTAAAATACTACAGAATCAGTATCAAAAAAGGAGACCAATGCATCTCGCAGATCGTGCACTGGAATTAAACGGCAAATTCAGCCGACGGTTTACGCAACTGATTGTCGATTAATAATAGCAGATGAGCACATCTATCATCAATTAATTTTCGAGCTAAATCCTGCTGCCCTACATCATAAAACGGTCTTTTGTCTAAAAGCCGATGACTTTCTTCTCTCTCTTGCAAAGCATTACGGGTATCACTCCAGTCTTCCTTGGCTTCAACGAGTTTATACCATTTTTCCAGCTCTTTAAGAAGATCATCAGTCGGCGAATTCTGACATTTTCCATCTTTTTTTATGCTGGTCACAATGTCTTTAACTTCAGTCATTATTTCTGGGTCTAGCAAATTTTTCACTTCATCCCGCTGGCTTTCAATGTCCTCTCGAATTTTATGTAGTTTAGACACTTTGTCCACTGGCGACGAACTCGAATCGACGTCACTGCATGCTGAAAACGGAAAATAGAAATCTTTAAAATAATAAAAATAAATAACTAGAACAGGACTGAGCACTGAAAAAAAGAAAATATATATTAATATGTACAAGGAATAATTGAGTCAGCAACGAAAAGGACGTAATAAAGTTCAACAACAAATCTTCTTTCAACTAGTTGAGCATAAACCAAAATAATCTGTACTCACAGGAATGGTCTGAAAAACTGGAAGCTGCATACTTATTAACATCTTCATTGAAAACTTCTTTTTCAGAACTAGTAACAAACGATAAATAAACTTAACATAAATAACATAAACTTAAATAGGAAGAGACGATTATAAACAAAGTACCTATCATGTTGAATAATCGCTACTTTCGTCTGGTGCTTAACGTTTTTGGAGGCATTTTCTATGTTAAAAATAAGCAAAGCAAAGTTTGAAATTCACTTCTTCACAATCTCCTGAAGACCTTATTTGTGCAAGAGCCATGTAGGTTAAGTAAGTATGGTTATATAGTCATAATGAAAACTATACTCTAGTTTGTCCATAATTCAATGATTTCTTGTGAGCAAGATTTTTTTTTTCTTCGTGGCTTTTGGGTAGGATATATATTTTTTCTCTTGGTGGTGTGTAGGAATTTTTTTTCTTCTTGTATGTAGCATTTTTTGGGGGGCTTAGGGTTGTGCAAGATTTTTTTTTTAGGTCCATATGCACGATTTTTATTTTGGGTGAAGATGGCTTGCAGGATATTTTTTTTCAAAATCATCCACCCCC